TATATATTTTATATAATGTACTTAGACAAGACAACATGTCTGCCAAAATTTGAGAAATGAGAAACTGATGGGGAAAGAAAGGAAGAAAAGCTCAAACAAAAAACAAACAAAAAAAGACAACTTTTTTTTAAATGTTCCTCTTGTGAGACTTAAAGAGTAACCAACATCTCTTCCAGCATTGTGTAAAAAAAACAAAACAAAAAACGACTGTTTCAGGTCGAGCACTTTTGAGTTTTCCCACAGCTTCTTGTAATCKTGTGCCATCTTGACTTAAAGTACGCAGGTGTTTATTTAACGTAACGATGCGGTCGAAGCTGGAGTAGGTCCTCCTTTCTGCAGGCTACAGCCTCACGCAGAATTTGACTGAACTGTCAAAGTGTTACTCCAAACACACATACATTTAAGTTGACTGGACACTTCAGAAAACACAAATCAGACTCTAAAAATTAAATGTGGTAAAGTATGAAATGTTAAATGTCCAACAAGTTTCATATCTTTTTGAACTTTTAGCAACGATTGAGTTTTTTTTTCTTTTTTACATATAAGGACAATTTAAAAGTTTATTTTAAAAATATATATTTCAAAATGTGTAATATTACAATAAAAAAAAAAAACAAAATTAAAAGAAATTATTAAATTAGGGAGTTGAGACTGACTGGACCGAGGACCTGACATTAAACGGGACAAGTTGAAGGAAAAACTGGGGTGGTTTTGTCTCCATCGTTTCCCCCTCAGTTCTAATCGACAAGTGGCGGGACCGGCCTGGACCTCGTCGCACCACCGAACCAGGAACCTGGACTCTATAAGTGCATGAGGGCTGCATCGCTTCAAATTAATGTTGCTTTTACAGAAAATGTTAGCCATGCAAGAGATCTATTTGTAATCCTGACTTGAGTCATGCTTAGCAACAAGCTGGCTACAGCAATCATAAACTACACGCCTTAGCTCGTTTAAAACAAAACAAAACAGAAAAAAAAGCAGACTGATTGCTCTGCGTAGTGTCCTCTTTCGTCAATATTCCAGCAAAGATTCCAGGTTCAAAAAAAATAAAAGAAAAAAGAAAGAAAAAACATGCATCAAAACAAACAGACAATGGATGGCTGAGATTTCAAATGTGTTGTTCATTCATCCTTTTGCACTCGCCGCACACATGCATACATTCCTATCCTCTCGTCCCAATACACCTGTGCAGTGTGAACACAGTAATGGCAACTCTCGTCCTCATTTTCCCCCTCTGCTGTAGGAAAACCCTACACTTGATTTGTAACAGCAAGTTTCAGAAAGAGCACTTGTTATTTTTTTTTAAATCAAAAAAAAAAAAGAAAAGAAACTTGTTGAAATATGGCTTTACATTTAAAACCGTAACAAGTGACAAAATAAAAAAAAAGTCCTTTTTCCCCTATTTTCCTAATTC